ATGATTTGGGGAAGACACCAGTGACTGTCCCTGTTCCCACTTGTGGCCTCATTCCAGCCCCTGCAGTGCCCAGGGCCCTGGGTCCCTAGTCAGTCCGGGTCAACTACACAGAGCAAAGGACACTTTGGCTCTATCTGAGTGAGTGAGTTTGGTGACCCTGTGCCCTTTCCTCAGGCTCTCACATCTGGCAAGCAGCAGGGTGACTCTCACCTCTGAAAGTACCCACCTGGCTGCGTGTACCTGGGGATGGGCTGCAGAAGGGGTCTGGGCCCTGGTCAGGCCTGGGAATGGCTGTGTGGCATGTTATACCCAGGACATCTGTCCAGCACGCCTCAGGGACCTCATCTGTGGGAATTAGAGCATGTGGCATGTTACACCCAGGACATCTGTCCAGCACACCTCAGTGACCTCGTCTGTGGGAGCGAGAACCTCCTGGGTGTCAGTGAGTGAGAGATCCTGGCAGGGACACCAGCCCTCACCTGTTTTCTCTCCACAGCCATGACCATGGTGTCCATTCCCCAGAGCTCCACAGGCACAGCGGGTCCCCCCACGTCCCTGCCAGTGCACACCCGGCCCAGACCCACTGCCCAGGACAGCCCTGGCCCCAGCCCAGAGCCTCGGTAAGGGGCCTGTATCTAGGGCTGTGCCTCCTGTGTGGCCTCTCCTGTGGTTGGGGGTGGGGAGGATCATGTCTCCCTCCTTCTTGTCCCTTGTTTGGTCACCCCTGTCATCCCTAATGTGAAGGCCCTCCTAAGTGCCAGGCGCTCTTCTAGGGATGATGCCACGGCGACAGAGTGCACAGGCACTGCCCAGCTCCTTTGGAAGTTGGGTTCACTGGGTGGAGCTACACAGGACCAAGTCCACACACGGGCCCCCATAACAAGGACAGCACATTGAGACCAAAGCTAGCAAGGAGGTTTGGCACTCACATTTGGGGAGGGTATGTGTGGAGGGCACTGTGGGCCTGGCGAGTTAGAGGGACACCAGGCCTGACCTGTTGTCCAAGGAGAATGGAGGCCTGCAGGGCTAGGAGCCAGGCATCCAGGGTGGGGAGGAGGAGGGGTCCAGGCAGAGGGAGGAGGGAGTGCAGATGTCCTGCCAGGGAGCATTCAGGACGGAGGCTCGGCCCTAGTACTCTCCCCTGCCTCCCTCCCTTGCCCTGGTCAGAAGTGTTGCCCTGTGTTGATGAACCCAGTCCTCTGAGGAGCGAGAACTGAGCTGGCCATTCGTTCATTCCTTAACAATCAATGAATGTTTGCAGCAGTTTTTTCCTGAAACACTGCGTCTCAGCACCTGTTTGTTCAATGTGAATAAGATCGATGGTCTGTGCCTTTGTACTCACGCTGTGTGAAGGACAGCAGACAGCAAACAAATTACCACATTGTCCTTTCTCCAGACAGGTAGCCCCCAGATGTGGAGGGCTGAGGAGAGAGTCCTCAAGGAGGCAGGTGCCACCTGGATGCCTGGTGCCCCATCATGTCCTTGTCAAGGCCCTGCTCTTCCTCATGTTCACAGTCCTAAAGTCAAGGGCAATTCTCAGGTTGACAGGCAGGAGCCATGGTTCTTAATATGGACTTACACTTTCCAAGCTTGGTCCTTATGTGAATTGCTGTGGCCACTGGGTCTGTACACAAGGGATAGGGGAATGTGGAGAGCACCAGGACCTCCCCCTGAGAGATGGCTAACTGTCCAACCCCGTGTCCCCGCAGGTCTCTAGTGGGCAGCACCCACTCCCTGTTCCTGGTCCTCCTGCTGCTGCCTCTGCTCCTGAGCATGCTGGGGGCCGTCCTCTGGGTGAACAGGCCTCAGAGAAGCTCTGCAGGGAGGCCAGGTCGGCCTGAGTATGAGAACCAGTAGCCTCTGCTGTCTGTGAGCACCCTGCCCAGGGACGCAGCCCTTCCGGTGGATCAGAATGAGCTTGTGGCTAATAAATTCATTGTTACGCTCCATGTATCTGTTGGAATATTCTTTTAACCTCTTATCATGCTTGATCTTTGAATACCAAAAGAGTCCCTGATCAATATGGATTCCCTGAAGCCTGCTTACACCAATGTCGTGCACACAGCTGCCACTGCCAGCAGAGGCTTGGGTCACCCCTCATCCCCAAGTCCCCTGACCGTTGCTGAGACTTCCTATCCCTCCAGGACCATGGCGTGTCTTTGGCTTCAGTGTGTCACAGGTGGAGAAGGGTCTGTGATGTCCCCTGCACTTTACGGTCCAGGTGACCGTGTGCAGAGCCTTGCATTTGCTGATCTTATCCATTTAATTATCAATTCTGAACCTCAGGGAGTAACACTGAGGTGCAGGGGCACACTGAGGCCAAAGTGAGGCAGACTAGGGGATTGAGGTGCCATTTGTGCCTCTCAGAATTGGTGTCCCTTCAGAACAGCATCCAGGGTTCCCCTAAACGTCTGGCTAAACCCCTCCTCACGCAGACGTCCTGGTGAGTGTCTTCAGGTCCTTCTAGGGAAGGTGCCCGAATTTCAGCAGCCTACATTTGGGCTTCCTCAGAGGGGCCTGAATCCACCTTCCTCCCAGGACTATGGCTTTCTTAACAGGCTCAATTTTTTAAATGGTTAAGGGGCATGACTCCGTGTGTTGGCAGCACATGGTGCCAGGTAGACCCAGACTCCTGTCTCTCTGCACCCCAACCCTATGGCCCTGTCCTGCTCTTGCTGGAATAGACCAGGAGGGGAGGGAGGAGAGGGCCCAATCTGTAGGGAGCTGGGGGGGGGGGGCTGTGATGTGCAGGAGCAGCAGAGCTGGAGGAAGGGGATCTGCCCTTGGGACCTGACTAGAGCATGAGGAGGTTGGAAGAGGTGACAGCCCCCAGGAGTACACTAGATGGCCCCTGCACCTGGCCCTGCCTTCTTGCCCTCTCCAGGGTAGACTGATGCTAAAGTCCACACATCCAGAGCACAGGCCGCTCAGCATGGACAGACCCCTGTCT